TTTTAACAAATGAGACTAATATATATTTATAGTGTACAGAAGGATTATTCCACAGCATTTCTCCCCTTTTGTCTAATAAAAAGGAAGGTTTTAAACCTTAACATAGTGAAACTATATATAACAAAGCAGTTTTTGTTTTGTTTTGTTTTGTTTTTTGTTTTGTTTTTTCAAGACAGGGTTTCTCTGTGTAGCTTTGCGCCTTTCCTGGAACTCGCTTTGTAGACCAGGCTGGCCTCGAACTCACAGAGATCCGCCTGCCTCTGCCTCCCGAGTACTGGGATTAAAGGCGTGCGCCACCACTGCCCGGCAACAAGGCAGTTATAAAGTAAGAATTACAGTTACAATATTCAGTCCATTTGTATTTGGCAAATTTAGAGAAATTATCTTATTTTTATGACTCTAAAGTTTTATACCCAGTTTACCTTTTATTATAACTAAGGGAACTTAACTATGACTATCTAGTCTTCAACTCTCAAAGACCCCAGAAAGGTGAAATGTTACTAACAACAGGGACATGAGGCTGCCTGGATCATCACCTTGGGTTCTTCTGTAACATTGGGGTACCCATCTTTTGCCAACAGGCCTAGTATATCTGACAGACATTTCTGAGAAGCAGGAAATTTTGAAGGACTGTCCTACCTTGTCTTGGCAAAGTTTGGCTGTCACCTTTTTTGCATCCTGCTGGTCCAGTTTGGACAGTATACTGTCAGCAGTTGAGGCAAAGGCAGTTTTTTAGCTTTTGCCATAAAGAAAGTAAACTCAGTTTCTTTGATGCTCATCCTCTTCTTTGAAGTAGATTGGTGCCGCAGGAGCAAATGTGTCTCACTGTCATGAAAAGCCTTAGGTTATTAAACATATTAAATGCCATATTCTATAGGTCTTTGAAGTATTTGAAGACTATCTATCTATCTATCTATCTATCTATCTATCTATCTATCTATCTAAATAGCTATCTAAATATATCTGTGTATGACCTTGAAAACATACCTAACATGACTATAAGTTTGACTATAATAGATGACTATTAAACAGCATTTCTTAATTATACATTACATTTTTTAATTGAGTTGCATAAGCACAATACCCCAGACAAGAGTAGAAATATACATGTAGTATAGTAAAAATAACTTTAAATTTGTATCAATAAACCAAAATCCATACCAGTGTAAAATATTTTGAGGTTAATAGTAATTTTTTTGTTTAAGCTGAGCATTTATAATTAAGTATCTGTGTTGGTTATTTGGGAACTGGTGAACAGGAAAGAAAAGTCCTACAGTAGTCATCTTTCAGCTTCAGCCTCTTGAGCACTAAAATTACATGCTTGTGCCACCCTACCCAGCTTAAAATTTGCTTTTAGCTGTGTATAAAAATATTCTTTGTAGCTAGAGTTTTCTTTCCTTGCCCACAGTCAGGACAAATCTCTTGTCACCCACCAGTCCCACAGCCACTCAGACCCAACCAAGTAAACACAGAGACTTAATTGCTTACAAACTGTATGGCCGTGGCAGGCTTCTTGCTAACTGTTCTTATAGCTTAAATTAATCCATTTCTATAAATCTATACCTTGCCACATGGCTCGTGGCTCACCGGCATCTTTACATGCTGTTTGTCATGGTGGCGCTGGCAGTGACTCTCTTTTCCTTCCTGTTCCCTTAATTCTCCTCTCTGTTAGTCCCGCCTATACTTCCTGCCTGGCCACTGGCCAATCAGTGTTTTATTTATTGACCAATCAGAGCAACAGATTTGACATACAGACCATCCCACAGCAATTCTTTATTCCTGTTTACAGAGACCTATGTAATGTTTTGACTCATATATCCATTGTATGTTTAAATCATTAATGTTAGTTAGCATATCTACTTAAACAGTTTCTCTGTGGTGAAAACCTGCAAAATCTTTTAGGGCAGGGAATGTATCTAAGTGGTGGGGTGTGTACATCACAGTATGTGAGGCCCTGGGTTGGATTCCCAGGCTATCCCCACTCCCAAACAGTAGACTTATTACCTGTATCTAGTTATTTGAAAAATCTTATGTTCCTTTTCTCTTCCAGGGCTGCTTTTATTTATGTTTGACATGGGGGTCTCATTGTGAAGTGGTAGCTGGCCTGGAACTTGACATGTAACCATGCTGGTATTGAACTTGCAATGATCCCCCTGCCTTTGCCTCCTGAGTACTAGGATTACAGCTATGCACTACCACTACATGTTTTGTTTTGTTTTAAAGCATCCCTTTTCTGTTCTTGTCTCCAGCTGCTCAGTCTTGTCCTCTTTCCTTTTCCTACAATACAGACGTGCTGCGTTCACTTCCTACTCCTTTCCTCCTTGATGCCCTTTGTTGAAATTGTGTAAGTATTTTAGATCTTAAAGTCAGCATGCATTTATTCCTCTGCTGATAGCTTATGGATTAAAATATTTCTTACAGCTCTTGGAAATGTAAAATATGCTGCTGTGCATCTATGTGATTCAGAGACTCTTTGAGTCCTTGTGTGTAAAGTTTCTTTTGGATTCCTGCTTGAAAGCCGGTTGACTAGATAACACTTCTAAACCTTTTCCCTTCTTTCTTTGAAGCCTGTGTACCTTTGTCTTCTAACACTCACGTTGCTGGTGAAGAGCACTGCTTACCTTTGTGTAATTTGTGTCTATTCCTAGAAACTTTGGTT